TTAATAACTGGACATACGTGTGTATATACATATTCAGCGTTTGATGGAAAGTACATGTACCTGAATGTGGAATCTTAAGAAACGATGTCATCCCAAACACTGATTCGGACTCGTGTTGAAATACACCTCAGTTTCGCCTACCCGAGGTTTTATCAGAACTATATAGACGTTCAAAACTGAAACGAACAAGCAACGGAGTAAATCTGTGCCAGGGGACTGCATGCAACGAGGGATGAGAGAGGACAAATAAGAAAATTGCTTGGTATCAGAAATTAAAAAAATTTGCTGGACACCTTATGGCATTGGGGCGCTGTTCATGTTACAGAATGGTTAGGTGTACGTGTACACGAGCATCTCTTTTAAGGGCGTATTATAGCTTTGGTGACTCTTTCTCCTTTTTCCCTATATGTAATTTGGAAAAATATTGCGGGTCGTTAGGAAGTTACCCAAAAACCTCAGAACTTTTTTTTCTCAATGAGAAAAAGTGGGGGAGGATCCAGTAGTCCGTTCCCTTGGCCAAAATGAGCGTGCTTTTGTACGTGTCGGTGTGGGCGTGTATATTCCTGTCCCCTGGGATTTACAAAATCTTAATAAGTAATTCCTCCAGAATGTTTGGAGAATACAGAACAAAATGTAATTGCTTGGCAAAAACCTGACCAAAGTACGTTTCTCTTAGCCTATTACTATCCCACAGTCTGGATCTACGTATTGCAAAAAAAAGAACTCATCTAGCACATGTATAAAACTAGAGCTTTAGATTTATCTGCAGAGTTTGGCCTACAAGTGACAGTCGACTCTCGTTATAAAGAACACTGTCATAACACAAAAGTGTTATAAAAAGCAAACTATGAGATACACAATTTCTTGAATTGTATTTTATTTGTTTCCCACTGTTGTTTGAAACAAAGATCCGGTTATTTGTCTGTTCCCTTCAACTTTATTATAACAAAGAGAGTTGACTGTACAGATCACACTCTTAAATCAAATATGCTGAACTGTAATGCCATAAATGAATGAAGTTCGTTGTCGTAGACATGAACATGGGCGTAAATTGGTAGACATCCCCACAGCATTGTTTCAAGTGGTCGTGGGAGATCATACCATTTATCCTTTTCACTTTTTCCCCTGAACTAAACAAGGAAGGGGAGTAAGCATGCATTTGATTTTTATTTTCAGACATAATTTATTTGAAAAACGAAATAAATCTCGCAAAAGAATTTGCCGGAGAAGTGGCCAGCATTTGCCTTAGATCACTCCACAAAACATACAGAAACCCCCAAAATCCCGGGGCCCTCCAGCGGTTAACGTTTTCAGAGCCCACACTGTTAATACGGCTTCGCGTTTGTTTTAGTTCTAATCAAGGTTATACCCCCCCCGACTTTTGAAAAGCGATTGACAGTCATGGGTATCAACTCAAACTTGAAAGTACATGTAGGCCTACGTGTTTCTAGAAAAAATAACTTGGAAATATACGGAAGCGTACAAGGGACACTTTTTTTTCGAGATACTATCTCGCCGCAGCGAGTTAAATCTTTGAATGTGTATCTCGCCGCGGCGAGTTATAATATGATCTTGCCGCAGCGTCAAATTGATATCTCGCCGCAGCGAATATTTCAATAGTTTCATAAGTCTTATTCAACGTGCCGTGTTCAAATGTATCTTTAGGATGAAATTCATTGAGATTTTGTTTTAGATTGTTAAAAAGGGGATGTTACATTTCCATAAAACTTGTTTTCCAAGACAAAGACAACCAAATTTTATTTTGTGGTGTGAATTTCCACATTCGAATGAGGGGTAAACTGTTTTAATTTCTTCCTACATTTTCCAAGTACCCAACAGAAGCAAGCGGACTTGAAAGTTACCTCTGAGCTTTCATCAGTTGAAATTTATTAATTTACAGTACTTAAAATGAAAAAAAAATGGAGTTTGAAAACACTACTACAAACGCAACGCATGAAATACCTCTCAGCTTTGGATGGTCAAAACATTTTAGGTTACTTAATGCCGTAATCTTCAAATATAGTACAAGTTCACACGTGTCATGCGCACCGAGCCGAAAGTGTCAACTCGTGTTCAGATGTTAATACAGACTCCATCTAATAAGTTCTTGACAAAAATGTGTTATGTGTTCACCTTTCCCAGCTCCCTGCGATGATGGATGGTTTGTGACAAGTGAACGCAAGGATGTGACGTCAAATCCAGTTCAATCCAGTTGGTGATAAAGTCTGTAATGGTCTTCTTTTCACCTTCACTTCATTTTTCTTTTTGCCTGCTGAAATCTCCTTAGTCATAGCTGATTTTAATGTTAGATTAATATTAACATCGAGATTTTGTCCAAAAGGCAACACACGTTGGCTAAAATATGCATGGGCGTTGCCAGAAATTTTTCGGGGGGGGGGGCAAACCGTCTACTTAAAACAATGACATTCAACTGCGGGAAGAGGTTTCATTTTCTTTTTTTTCAGGCAAATATTTATGTGTCATTTCATTTTAAATATTCATTTCTTTGGCTGTTTTCCTTTTCTTTGTTCTTTTCAGGGTCCCCCCTCGTGGCGCTTATGTAAATAGGATTATTTAAAATAAAAAAGAAAAGGCACCGTAATCTTTTCATTAGGCAGTCTACCAGGGAGTACGAGTCAATCTACCCCACTTGCGGATATGAAAATTCATACCCCAAAAGAGATTTCTTTTGTGTTGGAAATCAAGCTTGGTTGACATGTAACCGTCCCCTTTTGTTCTAATTAGAAATCTGAAACCAAATCTCACTGCATTTCACCCTAAAGATACATTCGAAACGGCAGGCTGAATAGGACTTCTGAAACTATTGAAAAATTTGCTGCGGCGGGATATCATGTACCAGGCAAGATATGGGACGAAAGGGTACCCCCTTACCTGTCCAATCCCTATACACACTCTAGACTATTGTTACCTAACCCACACCCCATAAAAGTCTGTACAGAATGCCTGAGATTCCGATTAAACAATGACCAACACAAAGGCGGGGTTCTCTCCGTTCCATATCTTGCTTCAAATGGCATATCAATTTGACGCCGCGGCAAGTTCTTAAAACTCGCCGCGGAGAGATACACATTCAACAATGCGAGTTATGTTGGAAAAAAAAATTGCAAATGGCCCTTATACGCTTCCGTAGAAATACATATCTCTTAAAGAAAAAAATACAAAAACCCTCGATTTTGTCCCAAAATAGAAATGTTTCTTAATAAACGCCTCATAAGAACGAACTGGAGAAAAAACGTAACTTTTAGTGAAATACAAACGCGCGTATATCGGGGAGGGGGTCTAAGGGTATATCCCCCCCACACTTTTGAAGGGGGATGGGTTTATCCCAACATTTCTAATCACAGCGGATTGTGAAGAAATTTCGGATTGAGGAAGTTGATAGAATGCTGAATTGGAGGACTGACCTGTTGATCAGAAATTTAGACTGTTTTGGAAATTAAGGAAAACTTGAACGTATTGCTGACAATTGTATAAGATGTGAATTAATGGGGATTTGAATCGCTGATATTTATTGAAGTGAGCATCTTCCATTGGTTATAGGAGTTGAACAGTATAAAAAAAGGTCAGTTTTAACTTTTCAGATGTGTAATTAGCGGAAGTGATTCACTGATATTTAAATAAAGGTCAGGTACCGTGCATTGAACTATTTGAGGCATTTTTTGTCGACTTAGAATAATCCAAAAGTAGAGATTTCCCTGCAGTTCCAAAGTGTGTATAAATACTTTGAATAAAATTAGGTGTATTTTTTGTACATATTTCAAATCGGTGTGTTGCCGCGTTGTTTTTGCAAAAGTCTAGGAAAACTGGTGACGTTGATGTAAGATTCTGCATGAATGTAATACGCATTTCAGATGTACATCGGTATCGTGACCATCACCCCCATACATGTATAACGTCATACGGTGTCAGTACCCCTCCCCCGTTTTTCAAATATCGATAGCTGGGCAAATCAACCCCCACAAATCCCTATCCCCCTAAGTTCTGGCACGGGACTTTTGTACAAATACCCTGAGGAAAAAACATCGTTCATACTATTTGCACGTGTACATTAATTTAACGGAAGAAATAAAATACGTTTTTTTGAGTAACTAACTATAAGCAGTAAAAGTTTTACATTCTACAAGTGTATGTACATACTTAATGGCTTAAATAAATAAAACGAGTGTTTACATTTTTATTTATATTTACTTGTACATTATATTTACATGTACATACAGTTTTGTTTCACACAGTCAATTAATACAAGAAAACTGAAAAGATTTATAACGGAAATAAATAAACCAGTGCAGTGCCGAAGTCTGTGTTCGTTTCTTTGTTTTTTTCTCTTTTGGGGAGGATGTTCACACAATTTACTTTGGAGCATTGTTCATTGACAGTTATTGGCCAAGCTGCAAATAGAGTAAATCCGCCCGTCAATACTTAACATGTTTTTCCAGTGTCCAACTAGTTGTGTATTCGAGGTTCTACTTAAATTCTCATACCGTAGTTGATTGTATAGTTAGTAATTTCTATCTTTGGAAGTATCAGAGTAGTTTAAGGAACCTTGAAAGCACTGTATGTATGAACACGTGGATTGTCATCTTTTGGAATGACTGATTTGGTTAGTTAGCTCAAGGATCTCTCCTCCGCAGTTATGACAACATACATTTGTCCCAGAGTTATTTTCTACAAATACTTCTTTGTCGACAAACTGCACTTCGGCTATTGGATAGTTGAAAAACCTGTCCTCTGGCAACAATCTTCAACCGCTCTTTTGATGCTGGTGAAGTACCTGATGATTTAAAAACAACTAATGTTATCCCGATATACAAAACTAGTGACCCATCTCTTATGAGCAACTACTGCCCTATTTCTATTTTACTGTGTTTCTCTAAATTACCAGAAAGACTGGTAGCAATTCGAACGTACAACTTAATTGATAATGTAACATTTAACACAATACGGATTTAGAGCCAGCTACTCAACTCAACTTGCACTGATCGACCTTGATAAAAATAAGTTCATCACTCGACAACTGTCTTTATACGACTGGGTTATTTTTGGATCTGTCAAAGACTTCTGACACAAAAGATCATAAAGAAACTGATTAGTAAACTAAATAAATATGGAATTAGAGTTGCTCTAGAATGGTTCAAAAATTACGTAAGCGACAGGAAACAGTATGTTGTATGGTAGAACATCAACTCTTCATTTGCACCAATCAGACGTGACGTCCCTCATTGCTCAATACTTGGTACTATACTTTTTCTGATTTACAAATATGATATCTGTAACTCGTCGAGTATACTCTCCTTTATTTAATTTGCGGATGACACTAATGTTTTCCATTGCAGTAAGTACTTACCTAAGGCAATTCACACTATTAATCGGAAACTATGCAAAATCTTCGAGTGGCTTGAATGTGCTTATTTATCCATTAACTTCAATAAAACCAAATGTATGTTGTTTGCTAATTGTAAAGTTACTAGGAATATCACTGTTTACTTGAATAATACACAGATAGAACAAGTTGATACCTGTAAATATTTAGGTGTAATTAGTGATAACAAACTTTCTTGGAAGCAACATTGGCAAAAAGTCCTCATGTCACTTTCTCGGAACCAAGGCAAAAAATTAAGAACACTTAAACATGACCGATATCTTATTCTTAATTTATATACCTTGTCCATGCCACACCTTCAATATTGTATTTTGTAGCTTGGGATAACACTAACCCCTCCTATTTGTACCATTACCTATTGTGTATTATGCAAAAGTCAACATTAAGAGTAATCAATAACTCGAGATCCACAGAGCATTCTGCACCGTTGTTTGGTAAATGCAAAACCTTGTCCATCTTTGTTTTATATAAATACCACCTCGGAGTACTATCTTTAAATTTGAAATGAAAAATCTTCCCGTAAATATTAACTCTTTTAAAAGTTTTGCGATAGAGCTCTTGCATGGTTACCTACAATGGAGAGTGTATCTTCGTATAGAACACATTGGACAAGCATGACACACGCATCCCTTAAATTCATGAAAGGTATGGTTTACTTACTGCATCTACCTTTTATTTCCCAATATCATTTCTTCCTGGTTCAATGCATTTTCAAAATGCACTCCCTTAGAATGACTCATCCATGTCACACTGACGTAAATGTCAATATGCATGATTAAGGCCCACTTTGCACTACCGTAGTCAAGTGGTTCTGCTATGCGATGGGATGCGACAGTGCTCGTGTTCCATGATCACAATTTGCCTCACTCTGCCCAGGAGTACATGAATGTAAATGGATAGAAATTAGATTGAGTTGCTACACACAGAAACGGATGGCCCAGATAAATGTTTTTCTTATGGTGTGTGGTTTTCCTGGCTGGGAAAGGTATCTGTCCTATGCCAGGTCTTTGCTACAAGAGTTAGTTTTCTTAAGGTAGTCTTAGCCTCCTTCCAGGCATTGGATGCAGCAATCCATGATGAAGGTAGTCTGCTGTTTGTGGCTCTCCACACTCTCACCTATCTGAGTCCGCTGTGGTAGGTTCCGCCCATCTCCAGTCTGGAGCTTGTTAATGCAGCATCATTCCTTGCAGGGACGGTTTCTTCCAGTTGGAGCTGTGGAGATTGGCAGCGTGGTTGTATCTCTCACCGAGCTGGATTCTCCTCCATTCAGTAAGGGGCCTGTGGTGTCCTGCTGGGCTGTGCGACTGTAATGGAGTAATAGCAGTGAAGTGCTTTGAGACTTTGGTGCAAAAGTACTACATTTGAAGATACGGTCCATCATTTACTGTTTTCCGAATCTTGAAAGTGACTGATAAAATGACGGTTGAAAAGCATACTTGGTTTAAAGATGGTTATCCCTAACCCCCTAGGGGGTATGTAAATTTGCATTAATCAAAAGATTCAGGACTGTTATGGTAAAATGTGACTGAAGAATTTTTCTGGCAAGCTGTCATTCTGAATAAAACCATGAAGGAAGGCCATTTCCAATGATGCGTCTAAAGATGCATTTTTTGGAAAATTGCCCTGAGATATATGCACAAACGTTAAACAATACACACACAAGTACTCAAGTGTGGTTACTGTAATTCCTATATTCAGTGCGTGACAAATTCATATGCACTATTCACTGACCCGGAACTTCATGAGATTTGTTCTCAGGCACCACTCTTTAAATTTTGAGTAATTTGTTGCCTCAAGGGAAGATCACTGATGACCCACTGTTGTTGTCCAGAGCCAACTACACAGACATCTGGCATCTATATACAGAACCTAAAATTGTAATGTAACATACAAATTTTAAACTCCTGATGTGTTGACTTCCTAAGATTTACCTTTCTTCTGATATGCTTTAAAACCAACCAAACAGGCTGCCAACAATAAACTCCTTTGTCTGGTGAGCCTCATCAATGAGTGAAAACATGTTCCCTTATCTAGTAGGAGTTATTACAATGTGGTATCACAGTCGAGACCCGGTATGGATATGGGGCATTTCAACACATCCACGCCTTGTTCATGTTCTTTTTGACCACTAGCAATGGTACAGCTCCAAAAAGTTTTTGTGATGCGCAAGTTCTTTTCTCTATAAAGTTGAAGCAACTATTGGTATTAGTTGTTTGTTCAATGTTTTCATTCTTCAGTGCACTTATGATGATGCACCTTATGGGAGTTCTTCTCATTTCATTTTACTCACGTGGTGAATCCTTTTACCTGCTGAACATTACATGCTTTCAAAACCTTTGAGTAACTGTATCTTGGTGCAAGTTTGTCACTGATATTGAGAACCTTTAGCATTTGCTTTTTTTCAACGCCATATACATGTACATATCAGATCTTGTAACAATGACTTTTAGATGGTCTTTATTTCATCACAATGTTTACTGGATACCTTTCTGAAGTGAAGCAGAGTCTAGTAATTAACAGGGGTTCTTGAGTCAAGTCATCTAGTTATTTCCCAACCTCAGCTGGATGAGTGTGAGACACTCTTGTACAGTATATCTGTATGAGACACAAAGGGAAGCATAAACCTTTAAAGCAGTGGGCAAAAACCTCTAATACCAACAAAAAGGTAATCAACAACACTCGCCAACACACAAGAAGCCCCGCTACACAGAGTGTTGAGGTTAAAGAGCATTGGCAGAGGTTACACTGACATTCAAAGAAAACTTGTCAAGGTCTCTCTTTGTCCTTTACTCGTGTTTTATAGTAAAACATGAGCAGATTGATTTTTATGCATTGTTTTGAATCAAGCACAAGTAACTTGGTCAGCTGTATTGATTTTTGTACGCCATGCACTTAGATAACTACTGTGGAAATGCTGCTTTGGAGAAAATGCACTAGAACGAACTGTGCTGTAAACCAGAAGTGTTTGCACTACAAATCACAACTCTTTAATACAGTAACTCACTGTCTCATCTATTGTCAAACAAGCCTCCCTTGGAGAATTTTATGGATTTGTCTCGAGGTTGGTAGCTTCACTGTACTCAAAGCAATGGTGCATTCTAGGCTATACACATCAATGGATCCATATGGTACTGACTCTTGTTTTCCACTACTTTCCCCACATGAATTCAACCTGCAAGGAATTGAAAGGGTTTAAGTTTTGATTTAATGCAGAAAGTGTTACTGCCGACATGCAGTGATTGACACTAACCAGGGGGGGTGGAGGGAAAGGAAGCTTTGTCTAGCTGGTGGATGACTGGTGAAATTTCAGACCTTCGAGGGCAGTATTGCAAGTACCTCATGGACACTGCATCATCAGTAACCCTCCCATCAACAATACTTCTTGGCATTTTGAGTTGTTCCTTAGATGAAGAGAATGAGGAGGAAGAAGAACTGGAGGATGAGGATGAGATGGAAATCCCACATTCCCAGGTACAGATGACACAATGCAGAAACAGTGTTCAGGATCACAGCCAAATCCAAGCAGGTGGAGTCACTTGATTTCCCTGAAGAAAAAAAATTCAAGACCTTTAAATTAGTTAGTATATATCATTTCAGCAACGAGGTGCAAGAAACGTAATGCATGTACCCGTATTCTTCACGCAGTGTAGCTGGATGTCATATTTCAAATTCCTGTTTACATCATTTTTATTTTGAAAGGAAAAATTGAATTTGAATCTGTATACGGGTGTTGTTCATAATCAGCGGAACAGCTGCCGCTAACATAAACAAGAAATGACAATTTAACTGAGGCCAAAAATGTACAGAAAGTAGTTGTAAGTATGGTTGTGAGATTACATTCCAGAGAGAATACATTTTCCACAAGTTGTATAACCTACTAACTCCCAAGAGGAATGGGAAAGTTTTGAGACACTTGGTGGCAGCAAACATACTGGTCCCACGTGATCAGTCCATTACAATTTGCATTATTATGAGCATACACGCTTTAGTTCAAGTGTGATGCTAACAATAGTGGACTGGCCAAATGGGACCACTATGTTTGTTGCCATCAACCATCTGAAAGTCTCCCATTAAGTCCATCTTTCCAGCTCTTCAGCTTTTTTCACATAGTATACCTGAGGTTAATAGTGTGTTGGGTCTTGATAAAACAGTTTATGCATGATGATGCGCAAAAACAAGAGGCCTTGAACAATGGTCTGGCTAAAAAGCTTCATAGAACAAATTATGTGCAAGTTGGCAATGCGAACAAAGATCTGGCTAGAAAGCTTGATCGAACAAATTATGCACAAGTCCGAGACACGAACAAAGGACCGGCTAGAAAAGGTTAATAAAAAACAAAGATACAATCTTTGATAAAAGCAGTTTATGTAAGACTTGGAGATTCGAACAAAGTACCAGCTAACAATCTTAATTGAACAAGTTATGCATGGGTCTGAGATACAAAACCAAACACTGACAAAATAAATGCAAATGATTGACATGAAATCACCTTGCCACTGGTAATCAGCATTACAATAACTACAGTGTACATTACTTTCCTCAGTCACCCCGAAAAGGAAATCACTGAGGGGAACACTGAGTGTCGCGCTGTGGTGGAGCCTTTCAATGGCAAAGTCTACGTCAAGATCCACAAGTGTTTCCAGAAGGACAGGGATTTCTGGAGCAGTCCAAGGGAGTCAGTGTGAGGGTGCAGGAGTGAAAAAAGCAGGTGGAGGTAATGCCGGCTATCACCAAGGCCGTCGGAGACTTGGAGGTAAGCACACAGAAATTTTTCAAGTAATACATGTACATGTTGTTTTCAATGTTGATTGTTGCCATCAAAACAACTAATGCACCAGCATGGTCATTGGTGTTTTTATTGTTATTTACAACACAGGCATAAGAAATTAAGAAAAAGATCTTGGCGACGAGAAGACTTCCGAGAGTGAGTTCATGTGGGGTTCCAGTCTTCACATGGATGTGGTGATTGACTAGGAGAAAAATGAAGATGACAAAGTTCTGTTTGATTATCAATTCCGATACTGTAGGTGGACAAAATTTGTAGGACAACTGTTACATGTAAATGTAACAAACGAAGCCTGCTGATTGAAAAAGGTTTCACAAATACTTGTTGTCCATGTCACAAAAGGCCAAGAAGTATTTCAGTCAGGCTGTCGAAAGAGTTGCTTACCAGTCTCTAGTTACAAGTAGATCAGAGTTCAGTTTTGAAGACCAAGTTTATTTCATCCAAATTAACGACATTGGAGGAATGGAATTCAATATTTACAAAGTACATGTATGTCATCAGGGATTTACTAAAGCTGACCACATATCCACCTTACTACAAGAGTATACTCCACTTGCAAAAGACGGTAAATACTGATTGGAGAACCACTAGGTTTTACCTCCTCCCCAAGATCCATAGGACAGGTAATCCAAGGAGGCCCATCGTTTCCAGAAATGGATCGCTCACTGAACACATATCATTGTTCATTGACACTTTTCTCAAACCCCTTGTTCCACAGATCCCGTCATGTATCCATGACATGCCAGACTTCCAACGCAAGCTGGAAAACATCAAGAACCAGATTCCCAGCACAGCCGTCATTGGGACCTTTGATGTTTCTTCCCTCTATACTAACATTCCCTATGAAGAAGGTATCCGTGCCTGCTGCTCTGCTCTCATGAAGAGCGGACACACAACTCCCCCATCAGTGATGTCGGGACACTTATGAGACTTGTACTAACCAAGAACAATTTCTCCTTCATGGGCAAACCCTACCTACAGGTACATGGCACTGCTAGGGGCACCCGCATGGCTCCCTCCTTTGCTTGCCTCTTCATGGGTAACCATGAAGAGCACATGCTTACTTCAGCACCATGCCGCCTTTGGATTTGGTGGTGATACATTGATGATGTATTTTTCATTTTGGGCAGAGACAGTGGCAGTCTATACATCTTCATTAACCATATCAATTCTTTCCACAGGACAATTATGTTCACTTTGGAATATTCCCTCCATCAGGCCAACTTTCTTGATGTCAGCATCCAGGAGGAGAACAACCTCGTGACTACTGACCTGTATTCCAAGCCCACAGATACCCATCAGTATCTTCACTCATCCAGCTGTCACCCTAGACACTGCAAGACTGGCATTGCATACAGCAAAGTACTCAGGCTGAGACACATTTGTTCTTATGATTCAGATTTCTCCTGTCATACACAGGAACTGAAGAGGCATTTGATTACAAAAGGCCACAGCTATCAACAGGCTCAACGCTCCATCAATAGGGCCCGCTCTGTCCCTAGAAGTTTTGCACTCAAGGAGAAGACCCCCGTGAAGAAACAATCTCCAGGGTTCCCTTGGTCACCACTTTCCATCCTCATCTTCCTCACCTCTGCAAAATAATCAACGACAATCATCATATCCTCCACACTTCAGACCTCTGCAAAATAATCAACGACAATCATCATATCCTCCACACTTCAGACCGCTTAGCCAGTGCCATTCTAGAAACCCCGCCTGTGGCCTACAGGTCAAAAGAGAAGTTACCAAAATAAAGTGTGATATTTCTGTCCTGTCACCAGCCCCAATACATGTACATGTAGGTAAAAGTAATCTTTTCTGGCAACAGGACAAGTCAGTGTGATCTCCACACAAAAAGTCAAGTAGGCCTGAAGTTCAATTCATTCTTATTGTATTTGATGGGTAACACGAAATGCACACAACACATACAATCTTGGAGTATGCTATGTGTACTACAGAAGGTAATGGTCAATGCATTTGAGCAAAGTGAAAGACAAATGTCCGTGTGGTATGATATGTGCAGGTCATTGACATTTGACTTCTCAAGACATTAGTGCAGTAACTTCATTCAGTGACTGTAAAAAACAGGTAAACTCTTCGCCTTCTCTGTGCCATGGAATTGGTGGATGATTTGAGTCGTGTGCCGGACTCGCTGGACAGCGTCAGCACAGGCCAGCGCGGGGCCCCGTGGTCGGGGGCCCAGACCGCGAAGGTGACGTGGAACTCGCCTTGGTTGGCGGGCGAGCTGGAGTCATTCCTTGTGGAGAATCTGGAACAGTTATCCAGGAGCGGGGGGCGGAAATTGGAGGGTGTCGAGTGCGCGGCTTGGGGGGATTTTGGGTTAGGTCCCCTGGAGAATGCAGCCAAGTCTGCGCAGTCCCCGGGCGACTTCCCCCTTCCCAAAGTTGATGCGGTGAGAAAGGTGCAGTTCCGTTTTGAGCACGACCATTTCACTGCAGTCGCTGGGGAGGGGGCATCGCCAGGCGACACCCTCCCAACCCCTAACTAGTACACCCATATCCGGCGTCCGCGGGGCGCCCTCTGGCGGCGGGGACACACTGGGAGAGGCGTTCCAGTCAGAGCGCCCTCAGGGTGGGTCCAGGGCTGGGGGGTCCCGACGGGAGCCAGATGGAAATTCATTCATATCTTGTGGTAGCATTGGGGCGCCCTCTTGCGGTACCGTCGTGGCCCAAAAGAACGTTCCTCTCAGAGCGTGGGTGGGCGGCTGCCGCAGGGTTGGAGCCTCTGTGCGAGGTAGCTGAAGCTTGTAATACTGGCTATAGTATGGGGGCGCCTTCTTGCGGCGCCGCAGTGGCTCAGGAAGCATCCCTCTCGGAGCGTGGCCGGGCCGTGGCGGCGGCCGCGGAGGCGGGGCCCCGGTGCGAATTGATGGGAGCTAGAGGGCCCGTGGCAGATTTCAGAATGCCCTCGAGCGCCGGGGACGTGGCTGGCATGGCGTACCGTCTGGAGCGCTGCGAGGCCACGGTCCTCGGGAGGGGGTTTCGAGACAGGCTAGCTGGAGCGTGTGAGATAAATAGTGAGATGCGGATGCCCCCGCACGGCGAAACTGCGACAGGTGGTGCGATTAGGGCGGACCCCCGCGCGGGGATCCGTACACATCTGTATGAAGCGGATCCCCCTAGGATCCGCGTACAAACTCATGAGGCGGATCCCCACTTGGGAATCTGCAACGTATCTGCGTGAGGCGGATCCCCTCGGATCCACACACAGGCACATGAGGCGGATCCCCTCGGATCCGCATACAGACTTACAAAGTGGATCCCGGTGCGGGGGGAGCCGATCAGAAGGACCGAAGACAAGTGCTACTTCCGAACCGGTAGCTCGTCCTGGGCGGATTACCTCACACACTTAGAGAGTGTGGCCGAGAAGGCGGAGTACTTGGCCTCCCATCTGAGTGGACTGGCCCAGGAGGCATTCAACGACTTGTCGCCGGAGGCCCAGAGGGACTACGTGAGCGTCCTTGAACACTTCGAGCGGCGGTTTGGAGTTGCTTCGCAGGTGCCGCTCCATCAGGCTCAACTTTCCATGCGGGTGAGCGGTCGGGGAGAGTCCCTGGAGGAACTGGGGAGGTCCATCTGATGGTTAGTCCTCCGGAGTTACCCCACCTTTCCCACGTAGGCGCGTGAAGATCTGGCAGTTGAGGCCTTCCGGAATGCCCTGGGGGACGAACAATTGCAGCGCCATGTCTTCGCACGTAAGGCCACAACCCTGGCAGAGCCGATTACCCTGGCCACTGAG